CAAGAATAGAATAATTTTTTATGGTTTGTATATTAAATTAAAACTCAGAATCTTGAGAAGCTAAAGATATAAAATTTGTACAATTTTATTTATTTTTTATTTGTCTTTAATATGTGGCTTACTTTTTTAACCGGATAAAATCAAAATTAGCCATTGTAGATCATAGTAGATTCGTGTTACATATACTCTACCCTTAAATAATAAAAAATAAGGTTTTCACTGATCACCAAAAATTTTTTCCATAATAACCATTATTTTTATCATAAACACTTGCATCAATTATTGATTTTTTTTATGTCAAAATTGTTATTTGCCATTTATTTTTATTCATTTATTAGTATCTATACTAGTTTCAAAAATAATTTGAGCTTATAAAGGCAATTATAACATGATGTTGACCTGGGTCAAACTAAGGTTGTGGGCGAAACCTCTTAATGACTGTCGATGTCGAAACTCTAATGAACAATTAATGTGTAACCTGTCAAAACTCTGATGATTGGCAAAAACCCCAAATGTGAAACTCTGCCAAAACTCTAATAAACAATTAATGTGTAACCTGTTGAAACTCTGTCGATTGATTTCTGGAGGAGTTTCTCCTGCAACCTTAGGTCAAACCTGGGTCAATTAAATCATGACCTGACCCAACTCATTTCGGAGCTCTAGGACTGGATTCTGGAAGAAAAGATCTGTTTATGGCAGTGAGTTTGGATGAAAAAGTTGTGAGTTGTTCCAACAAGGAGTACTGGAACTTAGCAGGGTTTGTTCATGCTTGTAAAAAACATGAGTTGTGGTTGGAAAAAAATAAATATTTTCAGGCTGTTATTCAAGGTGAACTATACTTTGTTAATTTAATTTGCTGTTAAACAAGAATATCATTGAATAATATTACTTACATACCTTTTGCCTAATACTAATACAAAATCTAGATATTCCAACCTCTGGTGTCACCAATGTCTATGAATATGGCTCTTACCTTGCTTACATTCTGTTTTATCTTGATATAATTCTTGATTTTTATTGTGAACGTTGCTGGCGTCGGTTGCGATGGAAATCTTTTATTAATAAACAGAAGGCCTTTGATATTCTGTGCAAGAGAATAACAAATAGCAATGGTGACAGTACAGTTGTTGCATTTGGTGATGGTAAATTCTCATCAACATCATGTGGGCATGCACCAGGCCCTGTAAAAGAATTTCGCCAGGAGCTTTCTAGACACTGCAGGGTGGTGAACATTGATGAGTTCTGTACTTCCTCAGTCTGTTCTTTGTGTGATGGGTGGTTTGATAAGCATCAAAAATTCTGGTCTGTCAGAGTCTGCAAATCAGTCTGTCTGACACATTGGAATCAAGATGTTAATGCTGCCCATAACATAAGGAACATTTTTTTGCACACAAACACTTGTGGAGAGAGACCCAATCCATTTATAAGGGGAATTACTGACCTCTCTGCTGCCATTTTAACTGTGGCAGGATATGTCTAGCTGGTGGTAGCAGCAGCAGCAATGATGACTTTTTATGAAGCCACAATTAGCTATAAGGAGGATTTGGATCTTCCTGATTTAGTGTAATAAGGTTTACTTGTTGTATGGTATATTTGAATTTTGGGTATTTTTCATATTTTTTTGGGGATGGTATATTTAAATCTGGGTATAATTTTCTAAAAAAAGTGGTAGAGAAAAGGTGATTTACTATTAAACCTCAAAAGTTTTTTTTAAAAAAACTCGAACTTCGTTGTTAGAGTAAAATGAAAGTACTCCATTAAAGCTTTCTATTGAATGTTCTTTCACATCGAAAGATCTTTATATGAATCCACAGCTATTCAAAAATGATATTACTTTTTCACTTCAAACCTCAGATTATTTCTCAATATCACTTTAAAAGACTTGATAATAAATGAGAAGGTGTAGAGTATTTTAAGCTTTCATATGGTCATTACTTTATGGGGGTATTGGTTAATAAGTTTTATAGAGGTTCATGAAAAACTATTTTATAGAAATTTAATAGTAGCAAATGACAACAATAAATCATCATTTTTTGAGGATGATAATAAAGATTAAGATCTAGTTTGTGTGGGAGTTTGAAGTAAGTGTTAAGGACAAGAACTTTGAAGCTTGCAAAATATACTAACAAACGTTTTATTAATTATTCAATAGTTTGTGTAGGAGTGATCAAAATAAGCATTAAAGACAAGATCTATGAACAAAATATAATAATGAACGTTTTATTAATTATTCAATAGTTTGCAATTCATCTATTGGTAAAGGATGAATTTAAAGATATTACTTGTCCAAACCCAACATAAAGTTTTCATAAATGTATCAAAATAATATATTATGGTAGTAGTAAAAGGAATTCCAGCACCTGAAAATATCACCATTATTCTCTCCAGGATCTTGAAGATTATCAAAAATAGTTGTATTATTAGTGTTGATGTTTCCTATAGTATTAGAAGAGCTAGCAACAGTAATATGTTCATTGGAAAATGACAATGGAGAGTCAATGATGTATTTTCATATTCTGGAATTTGCAATTCTTCTATTTCATCCATCACTTGAAGACATCAATCTCTCCGGCTCATATATCAATGGTAGTAAGTGTAAAGTGCAAATGTTCTCCATATCTAAACACGTATTTTCTGATTCTGCTAACCATGATGTTTTTTTGAAATAAAATTGGAAGCAGAATCGTCCACTATGGCCCCAATTGATAATAGGGATACTCTAATACTCTAATACTCTAATTCAACAAACAATCAGTACAACTGAACGAAAAAAGTCAAAGTAGATGAACTTCCAATGATGCTGAAAATAATAATTGCAGAAGTAGTAGTAATAATAACAATACTCGTAGAGCAATATCAAAGGAAGAAAACGAAGAGTAGACGGGATTGATAATTAGCTGGTAGAATCCAAATGCCTAAATAAGATTTTAGATATAAATATAATTTTTATTCTTCTAATTTTTTAATAGTAAATTTTTTTTAATATAAACAAAAGTTATTATCATTATCATTATTATTAATTAATTACATTATAAAGAAAGATAATTTATTATTAATTAATTAATTAATTAACTCAAAAAAATAAAAATAAATTCATTATTAATACAAATAAAATTATCTTGATTGAATAATCTTTATAATCATATTTTGTAACTCGATAAATTATTAAGCATCTGGAACATCTTTACCTTTATTAAGCTGATATGAGTAAAATTCAAATTTAAGTAATAAAGCAAAAGCTGCATGAATTCCTAATACAAAAATCAACAAAAGTCTTGTAGTTTTTGCATCTGCACGTAATATTACTGGATATAAATTTTTTAACATGAAGAATCCTATGGAATTTAAAGATTTATTTATTAATTAGTAAATCTAATAACATCACAATGATAATAGTGATGACGAAACAATACCTGAAATCATAAACCCTATGGCAACCATTGACCATCTTAAAGTTTCATGAGGAACAACACAAACAATCTAACACAATTAATCTGAAATTAAATCTTCTGTCCTTCTCCAAAAAAAAAAAAAAAAAAAAACAATAAGATAAGATAAGCTTACAGAAATTGGAATCCAAATAGTTAATCCATAACCGTATAAATCAACAATATCTAAAAACGAAGGTTTACACCCAAAATATTTTAAAGTAATCCATACCAATAATGATATACCAAAAGTATAAGTATATAGCGCTGCTACTCCAAATGAAAGAAGTTTAAAATCATAAGTGGGGGCTTCGTCTGACATAAAGGCTGCAATAGAACTAGCGATTGATGAAGTTACAAAAAGCAAAAATATTACAGTTGTTGTTATCCAAAATGGTCCTAAAATATGTGTACAAGTAGAATAATTAAATAGTTTGAATAGTTGAATTAAATAATTGAATGGATGATTAAATAAATGAAATAACAGTAGTGGCGACGATGATAAATACCATACAAATCAGGATTTGAACCAACAACATTGACAAAATCATCTTTTGGATATAAACTTTTATAAGCTCGTTCGATCACCTTTTATAAAACCAACGACATTTAATAAAATTACTATAGTATTACATCTATATATGTAAATTGATAATTACTTGAGCTGTATCAACATCAAAATATTGAGCGTAATATTCAATTGACCATAATGGGTACGAGCCACCTTGAGATTCTGTTCTAATTGTTCTATGTGGATCATAAAATCCTGTATCATTGAACCCTTGTAAGTGAATAAACGAATAATGGATAGGTGGATGGATGGATAAGTGAAAAGTATATTATTATATTATATTGGTGAAGCTGTCAAAATAAAATGGATATTATTGAATATTTGTTAAATATACCAGTACGATCTGTCGTGGTCTGTTTATTATCTTGTACAATTTTTCCACCAACATCAGATCCAGAAGAAAAATCTAATACCAATTTCATTAATTAATTTTAATCAAACAATAACTTAATTCGCTAAATCATCCCTCAACTTCTTTGCACTAATTTTACTAATATACTATTTCTAACCTTGAAACTCCAATTCTTCTCTAACAGGTGGAGGTGTCTAAAATATTACATTGTAAAAAAAGTATGATGCAATCAATGTTATTAAAGGCTTGTTTGTCCTAAATACAAAGAAATGTTAGATTATACCCCTAATACTATTACTTAACATACATCGTCGTCCATTTCGACGACCACACTATATTCGTCTTTTGACATCTTTGATTAGTTTAGTGATGAGGACTATTAAATTTTTTTTTATAGTAGATGAAAAAGTAATAATATTTTTTTAAAAAGTAAATTTCTTTTGTGTGCGACTTTGTTTTATTGTACAACAAACAAATAGAATCTTAACCAAAAATTAATCGCTAACATCATTCGGTGACTTTTCGATATTGATCCATAATATAAATATAAACCCTTCACAGTTTAGCTCTGAGAGTATCACTTCCATAATATTAATATCTAGAAATAAAAATCCGGATATTTTCCTTATGGTTTTGCAAAACCTTCTTTCAAACGTTAAATTGACCAATAAGAATGTAAATACATGAAAATCATGACCAATACGGCAACCATTTAAGAGATAATAGGTCTCTGTAGAATCTGAAATCTCTAATAAAGTACATTAAGTTCTCTTCATGCAAAAATTTTAGGATGTGCAGAATAATTTAACAATTTAAAAATGCAGTCAAATGTCAATCAGTTTGGGAAAATAATTAGTAAAAAAAAAGGTTTGTGGCTGAGTAAATTACTTTTAAAAATTTTGAAAGTTTAATGATCACAGTCAATATGTACTTTGGTAGGATGATTTATTCAATTTCTCTAATTATTACATGCAAATTTAGGCGGTTTTCCAAATTTATATTCTCTAAATTTCCAAAAAGTAATATTTCTTGATGACTTTAACTAGTTATTTATTTATTATTTACCATTATTATATAAACAAACAAATACAGATCATTCTATTCTCAGAGTTACGAGGTAATGATTCTCCAGATAGACAAGAATTTAATATTAAATAAAAATAATAATAAATAAAAGTTACACGCCAACTTTTCGTTTTTAAAAAAGATTAATTAAATAATTAATTAATATTAAATATATTAACAAGTTTTTAAACGAAATGTAACAGTGAGTTCTGTGAAATACAGATTAACATATTCTGGCGTCATATTATAAAATCACACGACTCAATCACATACATACATATTCGTCCAGAGCATCAAAATTAGCACCGGATGTGAAGCACCTTAGCATCCATCCTATCATGTATTCATGATCAATGATGCAATATTTAATAAAAAATAGACTATTTCATGCCCAGATGGTGCGTTGGTCGAGTAGTCTAATAAATTACCACAAAAACATATAAATAGACCCGCTACCCCACTCGTGGACCAAAAAACGGTGCATCGGTTTTGCTTTTTACGTTGGATTCGAATTCGAGGGTCGAGGCACGTAGTGCAGAAATGGAGTTCTATGTATGATTTGGCTTTACACGTTACATTAAAATGCGAGGTATTTATATATTCGTTCGGAGTATCAACGTTAGCTAGTCATATTATTATATCATTATTTTATTTTATTCGGTGCGTTGAGCGAAAATTTTATTTGTTTGTTTGTTTAAAAAATTACATATATAAAGGGGAAATGGTTTACGAATTTTAAAAGTTCCTTTGCAAAGAAGAGCCCTCCCTCATGGAAATCAAAAGTTATTTACGGATTTCGATTGTTAAAAAAAAATCAACCAAGCTTTTTTTTTCTTAATTAAAAAAAAAACCTCTCCTTTTGTAAGGATTAATCCGAAAGGAAATTTAGTAATTAAAAAAAATTTTTTTTCTTGTCCTATCCTTCAAATGGTCAAAATCAAAAATAAATTTGTTTGTTTTCTCCTTTTCCTATTCAGATCATTCAATAAAAAAAAAAAATTTAATCATTGAATTGACCGTTAATAATAATAACGACAAAATAAAATCTAAAAAAGTGTTTTGAATCTCGATGCCTGGGTATATGTAGAACAAAGCCTTTTACAATACAAAAATAATTTTTTAATTAATATATAAACCAAAAATATTTTCGGGTAAAATTTTCACAACCCTTCGAAATCTTTGGGGGTTCTTTTTTTTTTTAACACTTATAAAAGATTGCTCAAATCCCGTAACACTGCTTTTTTCCTTACTTAGGATAGATTGTATGGTTTTGGTTTTGATCTACTATTTTTTAACACAAAGAAGAAATTTTCTATTTGTCATGTCACCATCTCCTTCTGAAATTCGCAAAGTTCATAATCTTCGTGCAGGGTTTTCGCTAATTGTCTCTTTTTATGTTTAGCTGTGCTTGTTTTTTTTCAGTTTTTGGCACGATCAACATTTTTGCCATATTTAGCCAATTTTGCATTGTACGGCAAATGTTTTATTTCATATACTATTCTTTGCAATTGTGCATTGAATTGCAATGCTTTGCAAATGATCAGGAAAAAAAATCTATGTTTTTTAAACCTAATTTTTTGGGAAGGAATTTTTTGTTTTCGCTGGGTGGTAAATTTCAAAAAAAAATTCTTTTATTTTGTTCTGAAATCGATCTACGTGATTCTTTTTCTTTGATGATCAATGTAAATGCCTTTTTTCCGCGTGATAAACATTTGTCGTGCGATAAAATCCGAAGAGAACTGTTTTGGTAAGAATGAATTTTGTTTATTTTGCATTTTAAGAAAAAAAGCTGTTTAGTTTCAAGCTTCAACAATTGTTACTAAGAATGCTTTTTTTGGTGGCGGCAAGCATCTTTCTTATTTTTAGTATTTAGTTAGTGTGATGAAAATCATGCTATTGATATTATTAATTAATTAACACAAAAAAAAGATTTAACATTTGCCGTGTCACGATCTCCTTCCAAAACTCGCAGGTCGTGCGACTTCCGTGCAGTTTTCTCGCCAATTGTCTCCTTTTTTAGCCGCGCCTGGTCTTTTCGGTTTTTGGCGCGATCAACGTTTTCACCATATTTAGCAAAAATTGTGTCGTACGGCAAATGTTTTGTTTTATAAAACAGGTTGCAATTGCAATTGCATTGAAATTGAGTTGCGTTGAATTGAATTGCAAAGCAATGCGTTGCAATTGCAATTAAACCGAAAAATCTTTGTTTTTTAAACCTAATTTTTTGCGAAGGAATTTTTTGCTTTCGCTGGGTGGTAATTTCAGAAAAAAAAAATTAATCTACGTAATTTTTATTGCGAAAAAAAAAAAAAAAAATACAAAGAATAATCACTGTTTCATTCTCATTATTATCATCATCATTTTCAATGTTGTACAAATTTTCTACTGCATTCGTACAACCTTTATTATTGCTGACAACTTCGTTCATTGTATGTGTCAGTTTTGTTGCTCTTGATGTTCTTGATTCTTCCTGTGGGTCATGGTCTGCACTTCTTTTTTTACCCGACTCCCTGATGTGACTTGTGGTCTTTCTCTTGCTGTTGGAACTCATGAATTGTTCCTCAAAATCCAGATGTTTGGATTTTAATGCTTTGCGT